CACAGAATACCATGGTACAATGATTAAACAAGCATGAAATTTTGTACAACTGGCAACACATATTATTGATACGCATACAGGATCTTGCTTACATTACTTATGGCAATGCTTAAATATACATAATATAATACATTCTTAAGATAATTTGCTTATGAAACATACTTATAAGAGTGTCAGTTCATTACTTAATGCTGATGGGAATCCACTTACATATATATACGTACGTTGGATTATGTATTTACTACATTCAATTTAAGTGGAAGGCATAAGATTACGATTATAATGATTAAATTAATATATTAGACACGTTAAGGTGTTGACAACATATACTGTAGTTACAAAATTCAGATTAAAATGAAAGCATATGATATCAATTATAATAATTAAGTTAATACTATAAACACATCGAGGATGATTATTACAGTCAAGTAAAAGTAAAAGTCACATAAAGTGTAGTATTTAAGGTAATACGTTAAATGCATCTAACGAATAGGATAAGAGTATGATGAAAATAATATGGACATAACAGTAGCAAACAGATATTACTTATCTGGTAGCAGGGTTATGCGCTGGGAGGTATTAGGTGACAAATGAAAAGTGTACCCTGCAGAACTTGATGATCTTGTGAAGCTTAAAGCACGCACCCCTCCGTTCTAGTAGCACTTTTGTCCATTCCCTCCAATATCTATCTGAAGGAGGACGCATGTGGTGCGCCTCTGTCAATCTGCATGTAAATGCATAATGGTCTGGCGTTCCGATTAGTCCACATTCACAGAGATCATAGTCTCTAAGTCCAAATCTGTGTAGGTAATCAGGAAACGGGCCGTGCCCAGAGAGGAACGTAGTCAATGAAGATGAGTTGGAGAAGACAAGGTCTGTAACTTTTGGGATAAATTTATACGTCCTTCGACCTGTCCGGGAAGTATCCCATCTCTGCTGCCATTCTGCGTAAAGGTCGCCGCGTGTAATCTTTTTGAGATAAGAGGAAGGCAGAGGTAGAGCATGTTCTGGCAGGAAGATACCCGAAGCCGCTTGTTTTGCCTGTTCATCCGCCAGCTCGTTGCCGACTACACCTGTGTGCGCTGGTACCCAGCTAATGATGGGACGATAATTGAGTGGGAGGTTGACTAATGCCCTTTGTATGTTGAGTACGAAGGGGTCTCGGCTGGCTGGTCCTTCTATGGCGGCTATGCTCGACAGTGAGTCACTATAGATATAGACAGTTTCTTGGTGACTATATGAGAGAGATCGATTGCTTTTTTAATAGCTGACAATTCAGCTTGGTAGACTGTGTTGTTCGGATTGAGTCTACGTTTCCAGCGGTATTTGATTTCTCCATCGATCATTGTGCATAAGCCGCATCCAGTGCCATCCTTTGTTTTGGAACCATCCGTGTAGATGGCTATTGAGTTCTGCCGACAGAGAAGTGTCTGCGTGTATATATTTTCCGCGAGGTTATGCTGGGCTGGGTGGCAGGGATAGTCAAAGATCTTGTGCATATACTCCGAGGTATGCAAGTTCCTGTTCCAGAGTTTATAGTCTTTCCCAAGTCGGAGAGTATTGGAGATGGCCGCCTCTCGCTCTGCCACCAAGTCTAGTGGTGGTATCCCTGTTAGGACTTGCAGTGCCGCTGTTGAAGTTGTCCTGTATCCTCTGCTTATTTGCAAAAGGTGTGGGCGTTGGAGTGAGTTAAGTAGGCGCCTCTCTTGTACCGTTAGATGTTTTGCCCAAATGCCGGATCCGTATAAAACTATGGCCTGAGTAACGGTGAGATACCAATGTTTTAGCAGTTTCGATGAAATGCCCCAGGTTGGAGCCGCTGTTCTCTGCATGTAATTTTTAAGACTGTCTGTTTTTATTTTTAGATACTGAAGATACGGAAGCCAGGATAACCTTGAGTCAATGATTAAGCCCAAGTATTTGAGTTGTTTAACTATCTTGATGGGGTTGCCATAAAGTTTGATGGATGGATTCCTTTTGAGAGGTCTTTTGGCGCCTATGAGCAAAGCTTGGGATTTTGAGGCAGAGATCGTGATCTTGTGGTCCCTTGCCCAGAAGCTAAACTTGTCGAGGTAGAATTGCGCTGTCATTTCTAATTTGGATCTTCCATGGACTATAATCAAGAAGTCGTCCGCGTAGGCCAGTATGTCACAGTCCTGGCAATTGTCATCAAATTCCTTGAAGATTGAGTTGGCAACTATCTTCCAAAGTACTGGTCCAAGGCATGAGCCCTGGGGGCATCCTTTCTTTAGGTGATGTCTGACTAAACCATCGTTCGCTTTATACTGGAGTGTGCGATCGCTGAGGTAACTATGAATTAGCTCTTGTAGTTCTGCCGGGCAGTTCATCTGAGATAAAGCCTGTATAACATCTGGCCACCACAGGGAGTCAAATGCTCCCTGGATGTCCAGACTAATGATCAAGGAGTGGTGCCCCTTTTTTCTGTTGCACTCTATCAAGTTCATTAACTTGGAGATGGCGTGTTCTGTAGAAAGTCCTCCTCGGAAGCCAAATTGCCTGGGGTCTATGGAATTGTTTCTTTGTAGGAAAAAATTTAGTCTTCCAAGTACTATCCTTTCTAGCAGCTTGCCAAACGAGGGGATAAGACATATTGGCCTGTAGGATGTGGGTTGTTGTGGATCTTTGCCTGTTTTATGGAAGAGTGCTACCTCTGCATTTTTGGTCGATTTCGGGAAGTGTCTATTCTTCCAACAGGCACCGATGTACTCTTCGACTAGGTCAGGCGCAAAAGCATAAATCATGCGTATTACGGCATTGTCTAGCCCGTCCGGGCCTGGTGCCTTCTTTGTGTTTAGGTGTTTGACGATAGCTTCTATCTCATGCCTAGTAGGAGGGGGTTCCAAAGAAGTCTGATATCTGGTGAAGTTATTGAATGAAGTTCTTATCTCTGATTGCGCAAGGTTGTCATCTGTCTGTGGGTCTTCTTTGAAGAGTGACGTATGTATGTAGCTGTGTACATGGGCAGAGCACTACAGACCAGGCTTCCGGCCTCAGGTATAACCAATCGGAATAGTGCCTGACCTGTAGAAATTATCTAGTATCTACTTCCGCCACTGCGAGGGCGAGCCCCGCAAACCAGCGGCATTTATTGAGTCTAAGTCAGAAGTTACCGATTCACAGTAATGGTTGATTACAATGGCACCTTTGCAGACGTTGTCTGCTACATGAAAAGATGTAAGTGCTGTACTGAGCTGAGTGTTATTCATACGCGCGTGTAATTACAATTGCTCTGATTGTGTAATGTTCCATCGGCAGTAATGATTTATGAGCACTGCATGAGATTTAGTACATTGAGTTAGTAAGGTGTCCGGACTTCACTACAAATCGTTATTGGTGAACTTGGCTTAATCTATGCTGCGTATCTGTCCGTGTCACATACTAAAGACATACTGTACATACATACATGATGATATACATAGCATGAAGATTATACATAGCACTAAAAATTACACATAGCACAAAAAATTACACATAGCATTAAAAAAATTATACATAGCATCAAACATTATTACTGTTTTGCTCAATGAACAAATTATATAACTTACTATCCGCACAAATATTGTACTCATTAGTAGCTGTGCACACAGAATATTATAAACATTAAATAGGTCCTAGCAGCCACACGTTATTTACATATTACATAATATATGCGTTTCATAATATGCGCTTACATAATATATAGGATTATAAGATAAATAATTAAATACTCGAATGCAGAACAGAACATTGCAAATTTGAATAGGTAAGTAAATGAATGATATACTGAGATACATTAATAACGATTAATAGTGAGTAACTAAAGAATAGTATTTAATACTAAAGCTCATAAGTGCATAACAAAGTTCGCAAATAGTACTATAAATTTCAAAATTTCTTAATTTAATGCAAAACATACAGCTGTGTTTCAGGAATTTTGTGCGGAAATCGAAATGATGCAACTATCTTATAACTATTAATACTAAGTAAGCGCATGATAAATTCTAGATTAGATATGCTTGCTTAGTAGGTTACACGATTTGCAATAAGGCATAATTACATAGCAGTAAAATAATAAAGAATATAGGGAAGTGCTATGGCTGACATGACTTAGTGCGCATTTTGATTACATGACACTTCTTGGTAATATGCAATAAAAACATAAGAGATAAAAATGGCAACATACTGAGATGAATGATTACTAAGAATGAAGTTTCTGAAGTAGTACCAGTAAGCAAAGCACAGAATACCATGGTACAATGTATAATAAAGAATATAGGGAAGTGCTATGGCTGACATGACTTAGTGCGCATTTTGATTACATGACACTTCTTGGTAATATGCAATAAAAACATAAGAGATAAAAATGGCAACATACTGAGATGAATGAGTACTAAGAATGAAGTTTCTGAAGTAGTACCAGTAAGCAAAGCACAGAATACCATGGTACAATGATTAAACAAGCATGAAATTTTGTACAACTGGCAACACATATTATTGATACGCATACAGGATCTTGCTTACATTACTTATGGCAATGCTTAAATATACATGAATATAATACATTCTTAAGATAATTTGCTTATTGAAACATACTTATAAGAGTGTCAGTTCATTACTTAATGCTGATGGGAATCCACTTACATATATATACGTTGGATTATGTATTTACTACATTCAATTTAAGTGGAAGGCATAAGATTACGATTATAATGATTAAATTAATATATTAGACACGTTAAGGTGTTGACAACATATACTGTAGCTACAAAATTCAGATTAAAATGAAAGCATATGATATCAATTATAATAATTAAGTTAATACTATAAACACATCGAGGATGATTATTACAGTCAAGTAAAAGTCACACAAAGTGTAGTATTTAAGGTAATACGTTAAATGCATCTAACGAATAGGATAAGAGTATGATGAAAATAATATGGACATAACAGTAGCAAACAGATATTACTTATCTGCTAGGAGGGTTATGCGCTGGGAGGTATTAGGTGACAAATGAAAAGTGTACCCTGCAGAACTTGATGATCTTGTGAAGCTTAAAGCACGCACCCCTCCGTTCTAGTAGCACTTTTGTCCATTCCCTCCAATATCTATCTGAAGGAGGACGCATGTGGTGCGCCTCTGTCAATCTGCATGTAAATGCATAATGGTCTGGCGTTCCGATTAGTCCACATTCACAGAGATCATAGTCTCTAAGTCCAAATCTGTGTAGGTAATCAGGAAACGGGCCGTGCCCAGAGAGGAACGTAGTCAATGAAGATGAGTTGGAGAAGACAAGGTCTGTAACTTTTGGGATAAATTTATACGTCCTTCGACCTGTCTGGGAAGTATCCCATCTCTGCTGCCATTCTGCGTAAAGGTCGCCGCGTGTAATCTTTTTGAGATAAGAGGAAGGCAGAGGTAGAGCATGTTCTGGCAGGAAGATACCCGAAGCCGCTTGTTTTGCCTGTTCATCCGCCAGCTCGTTGCCGACTACACCTGTGTGCGCTGGTACCCAGCTAATGATGGGACGATAATTGAGTGGGAGGTTGACTAATGCCCTTTGTATGTTGAGTACGAAGGGGTCTCGGCTGGCTGGTCCTTCTATGGCGGCTATGCTCGACAGTGAGTCACTATAGATATAGACAGTTTCTTGGTGACTATATGAGAGATCGATTGCTTTTTTAATAGCTGACAATTCAGCTTGGTAGACTGTGTTGTTCGGATTGAGTCTACGTTTCCAGCGGTATTTGATTTCTCCATCGATCATTGTGCATAAGCCGCATCCGGTGCCATCCTTTGTTTTGGAACCATCCGTGTAGATGGCTATTGAGTTCTGCCGACAGAGAAGAAGTGTCTGCGTGTATATATTTTCCGCGAGGTTATGCTGGGCTGGGTGGCAGGGATAGTCAAAGATCTTGTGCATATACTCCGAGGTATGCAAGTTCCTGTTCCAGAGTTTATAGTCTTTCCCAAGTCGGAGAATATTGGAGATGGCCGCCTCTCGCTCTGCCACCAAGTCTAGTGGTGGTATCCCTGTTAGGACTTGCAGTGCCGCTGTTGAAGTTGTCCTGTATCCTCTGCTTATTTGCAAAAGGTGTGGGCGTTGGAGTGAGTTAAGTAGGCGCCTCTCTTGTACCGTTAGATGTTTTGCCCAAATGCCGGATCCGTATAAAACTATGGCCTGAGTAACGGTGAGATACCAATGTTTTAGCAGTTTCGATGAAATGCCCCAGGTTGGAGCCGCTGTTCTCTGCATGTAATTTTTAAGACTGTCTGTTTTTATTTTTAGATACTGAAGATACGGAAGCCAGGATAACCTTGAGTCAATGATTAAGCCCAAGTATTTGAGTTGTTTAACTATCTTGATGGGGTTGCCATAAAGTTTGATGGATGGATTCCTTTTGAGAGGTCTTTTGGCGCCTATGAGCAAAGCTTGGGATTTTGAGGCAGAGATCGTGATCTTGTGGTCCCTTGCCCAGAAGCTAAACTTGTCGAGGTAGAATTGCGCTGTCATTTCTAATTTGGATCTTCCATGGACTATAATCAAGAAGTCGTCCGCGTAGGCCAGTATGTCACAGTCCTGGCAATTGTCATCAAATTCCTTCAAGATTGAGTTGGCAACTATCGACCAAAGTACTGGTCCAAGGCATGAGCCCTGGGGGCATCCTTTCTTTAGGTGATGTCTGACTATACCATTGTTCGCTTTATACTGGAGTGTGCGATCGCTGAGGTAACTATGAATTAGCTCTTCTAGTTCTGCCGGGCGGGCAGTTCATCTGAGATAAAGCCTGTATAACATCTGGCCACCACAGGGAGTCAAATGCTCCCTGGATGTCCAGACTAATGATCAAGGAGTGGTGCCCCTTTTTTCTGTTGCACTCTATCAAGTTCATTAACTTGGAGATGGCGTGTTCTGTAGAAAGTCCTCCTCGGAAGCCAAATTGCCTGGGGTCTATGGAATTGTTTCTTTGTAGGAAAAAATTTAGTCTTCCAAGTACTATCCTTTCTAGCAGCTTGCCAAACGAGGGGATAAGACATATTGGCCTGTAGGATGTGGGTTGTTGTGGATCTTTGCCTGTTTTATGGAAGAGTGCTACCTCTGCATTTTTGGTCGATTTCGGGAAGTGTCTATTCTTCCAACAGGCACCGATGTACTCTTCGACTAGGTCAGGCGCAAAAGCATAAATCATGCGTATTACGGCATTGTCTAGCCCGTCCGGGCCTGGTGCCTTCTTTGTGTTTAGGTGTTTGACGATAGCTTCTATCTCATGCCTAGTAGGAGGGGGTTCCAAAGAAGTCTGATATCTGGTGAAGTTATTGAATGAAGTTCTTATCTCTGATTGCGCAAGGTTGTCATCTGTCTGTGGGTCTTCTTTGAAGAGTGACGTAAGTATGTAGCTGTGTACATGGGCAGAGCACTACAGACCAGGCTTCCGGCCTCAGGTATAACCAATCGGAATAGTGCCTGACCTGTAGAAATTATCTAGTATCTACTTCCGCCACTGCGAGGGCGAGCCCCGCAAACCAGCGGCATTTATTGAGTCTAAGTCAGAAGTTACCGATTCACAGTAATGGTTGATACAATGGCACCTTTGCAGACGTTGTCTGCTACATGAAAAGATGTAAGTGCTGTACTGAGCTGAGTGTTATTCATACGCGCGTGTAATTACAATTGCTCTGATTGTGTAATGTTCCATCGGCAGTAATGATTTATGAGCACTGCATGAGATTTAGTACATTGAGTTAGTAAGGTGTCCGGACTTCACTACAAATCGTTATTGGTGAACTTGGCTTAATCTATGCTGCGTATCTGTCCGTGTCACATACTAAAGACATACTGTACATACATACATAGCATGATGATATACATAGCATGAAGATTACATACATAGCATGAAGATTATACATAGCACTAAAAATTACACATAGCACAAAAAATTACACATAGCATTAAAAAAATTATACATAGCATCAAACATTATTACTGTTTTGCTCAATGAACAAATTATATAACTTACTATCCGCACAAATATTGTACTCATTAGTAGCTGTGCACACAGAATATTATAAACATTAAATAGGTCCTAGCAGCCACACGTTATTTACATATTACATAATATATGCGTTTCATAATATGCGCTTACATAATATATAGGATTATAAGATAAATAATTAAATACTCGAATGCAGAACATTGCAAATTTGAATAGGTAAGTAAATGAATGATACTGAGATACATTAATAACGATTAATAGTGAGTAACTAAAGAATAGTATTTAATACTAAAGCTCATAAGTGCATAACAAAGTTCGCAAATAGTACTATAAATTTCAAAATTTCTTAATTTAATGCAAAACATACAGCTGTGTTTCAGGAATTTTGTGCGGAAATCGAAATGATGCAACTATCTTATAACTATTAATACTAAGTAAGCGCATGATAAATTCTAGATTAGATATGCTTGCTTAGTAGGTTACACGATTTGCAATAAGGCATAATTACATAGCAGTAAAATAATAAAGAATATAGGGAAGTGCTATGGCTGACATGACTTAGTGCGCATTTTGATTACATGACACTTCTTGGTAATATGCAATAAAAACATAAGAGATAAAAATGGCAACATACTGAGATGAATGATTACTAAGAATGAAGTTTCTGAAGTAGTACCAGTAAGCAAAGCACAGAATACCATGGTACAATGTATAATAAAGAATATAGGGAAGTGCTATGGCTGACATGACTTAGTGCGCATTTTGATTACATGACACTTCTTGGTAATATGCAATAAAAACATAAGAGATAAAAATGGCAACATACTGAGATGAATGAGTACTAAGAATGAAGTTTCTGAAGTAGTACCAGTAAGCAAAGCACAGAATACCATGGTACAATGATTAAACAAGCATGAAATTTTGTACAACTGGCAACACATATTATTGATACGCATACAGGATCTTGCTTACATTACTTATGGCAATGCTTAAATATACATGATATAATACATTCTTAAGATAATTTGCTTATTGCATACTTATAAGAGTGTCAGTTCATTACTTAATGCTGATGGGAATCCACTTACATATATATACGTTGGATTATGTATTTACTACATTCAATTTAAGTGGAAGGCATAAGATTACGATTATAATGATTAAATTAATATATTAGACACGTTAAGGTGTTGACAACATATACTGTAGCTACAAAATTCAGATTAAAATGAAAGCATATGATATCAATTATAATAATTAAGTTAATACTAGAAACACACATCGAGGATGATTATTACAGTCAAGTAAAAGTCACACAAAGTGT